CCTCTTCAGGACCTTTGTAATTTAATGCTATACATGTTGTGATTCTCGTTTTCTCTCAATTTAGGAATTTTAAGTCCATCAGGGACTTTCAAATAAAAATATTAGCATCTAATGACACATATAAAAATATGGTCATGACGTACATATACTGCATATATAAATTCATAGTTTCTGTCATAGGTATTAACTTGCGGAACGTAATACAATCACTAATGCATATATAAATTCATAGTTTCTGTCATAGGTATTAACTTGCGGAACGTAATACAATCACTAATAGGAAAATATTTTACATCTAAATCGATGCCGGGTTTCTACGTGAACCCATTGAGCTATGAATCTCGCTTTATATCTAACCACCTTACAATTCTTATTTATTTTTCTTACGAAGACTCATTTATATCTTGTAGGGATATATGGACTACAGGTTCAAAATATTGTAGCGAGTTCAGCTCAGCCTCAATTTACCACTTTTCCATCTCAGCTAGTCTGAGTGCTTCAAGCACTCTGCTACCGACTTAGGTTCTGGATCCAGATTATTTTCGGAGATAGTAAGAGCAACTGTAGAGTTAACTATGTTGTCGACAACTTTTATATTTCTATTATATATTTCTCATTTTACACAAATTCGTGGCCACTTTAATTCTTATTTTATGTCAACCAAATCCTCGTCATTTCCCTTAACAATTGGATTTGGTAGTTCCGCATCTCCAGTATTATGATTATCAAGCACGTGCAACTTTACTGGAGATCCAATCTTTAGGATGAATCTCTTCCGGAGGTTATAGGAGTGACTGTCTTTCTATATAGAATTTAGTTTGCCACGGACTTTTATCTTTTACACTAACATGTTTCATATGCTTCTGGCATAGTATGCTTCTGGCGTACCAAATCGTCAATGATATACTCAACATGAATATGGGGATTAGTCACTCTTTTCTTAACAGATTATCATGTGAACTTCTAGTTCAGTTTGACTAGTACGTGGATATAAATATTGAAGATCTTTTTCATCTATGGAATTTCTTGACATTATTTTGTATTTTGGACACTAATCTTCCCCTAATGCCGAGAATTGATCTTCAATAAAAATGCAGTCAACATACCAAATTATAAATTGACCCCTTATCATGGGACATATGTACTAAATTATTAACGGAGTTTCATAAATAATGTATGTACCTTCACCGAGGTCCCATAGAGGTATGCTATGGTGGTGATATTGAAAAATAAACTGCAAATAGAATACGCAGATGGGAAATGTTTCGCTTCTTCACCACGTATTAGATAAAGGGAGAAAATTGTGATATGCAGTTGGTCGGATTTGGTTTGAATGCCCTATTTAATTTAAGGAAATCCGACAAATCATATTTTGCCCAAGATGACCCAATAGCTCATGCCAGAATTTAAAAGAATTTGGGTCCCTAAATCTCAAAAATCATCGCAACATGGTTTATTTTAGGTCAGACAAATTCTAAAGTGTATAAATAAAAACCACATAGGTTCACAAGAGTTTAAAGCAAACTCAAGTTAAATCAAAATTGTCCGACAAATGCATATAATCCAAATATAGAAAAACCAAATAGTTTACCTTGACCATCTCGATAAGATCCACTTCAATGTCAACTATCTCCCCTCGTCCAAGTTTATGAGTATTAGTTTTAATTATGACATGTGCTTCAGGCACTACGTGTGAACCAATTAAACTTGCATTATGGTTTCTCACAACATCTGGTTGTGTTTTTTTAACAACTACTAATGCAAGGATTAGTTCATAATGCTTAATATAATTTTTAGTCTTGTACTACTGCAAGAGTACAATGTTACTTGTTGAATTGCATTCAATCGAGGATTTAAAATTTAAAAAAAATGGCTACAGGATATGATCTCCTACTATGTTCATAGCTCCCCCTTGTGCACACGTATAATTAATTTTTTGAATTGTAGCATGTGCTACAAACACAACTCGTAAGCAAACTAGTCTGACATTGTGATTTCTAATCATCAATTGGTTGTGCTTCTCTGCGATTACTAATGTAGATATCAATTCAGAATGCTAAGTGCAATTCTTGGTCATCTACTGCTGTTAGAGTACAATATTATTTGCATGTAATGCGAAAAAATCTTTTCGATCAATTCGGCGAGCTTCACCCGCTAGACAATATGGCACATGGTTGAATCATATTTAGTCATGTATTTGAAATCCAAAAAGTTCTGATTCAGTCTGCCAGTTGCGTTTTAGGGTAGATTATTGGTTTCCATATATCAAAGCGATCATTCAGGGATTGCACAGAAAAGTAAATACTTTTTCAGTGAGGCATTAATTTTTCACATCTTAATTGATAGAGAGAAAATTTAAAATGTTTGCTTTCTGGGCAAAGATACTTAAAGAATCAAGAGATATAATCGTGTAAAAATCACAAGGGTGTTAGTAAAAATGTATGTTCGAGGCCAAAGAACGTATTGTAATAATTACTATCATATATCACAGTGCACTAATCATGAGGACGAAAAATTAGTGCATGAGAAAATTAGAAATATTCACATTTTAATAAGATCACACTTAATCGCCAAAATCTACAAGCTCTTTTTTTCTAAAGATCTTCATAAAGGTTGTCTTTCAAATGTTTGCTTCTGGCAAACTAGTCTAATATTAAAATTCACACAAAATTTTTAATGCTCGGACGATCAATGACCATCACAAACTCAAGCAAGTAGAAATTAAACAAAGGTATAACCAATTTGTGTTATCCTTTCTTCTAAACTCAAGGTTTCCAGATTCAGCTCTCTCATATTCAACAGGTTGTCTTTATAATTGTCATCTTTTCGGGTCACGTTTGCTTCAAGCAAACTGGCCTGATGTTTTTCACCTTGTTTTGTCTTCCCCTTTGAGTCCTTTTGTCAAGAATAACTCATAACTACTGACATGCGGAGATGAACAATTATTTTATACGGAGATTTATATTGTGGCTTGAATGCTGAGGGCAAGTGTGACAAAACTTCCTTGTGATAATTGATATGCTTAATAACCATAGTGGTATAAAATGATAAAAAATTTTGAGACATTATTAACAATATCAAGTTACAAGTTATTGTATTCAACCTCCATAATTGGGTAGACCTCATACCAAAAATGCCCTAGTTTAATAACAACTAGGATTTAGCCCATACGATGCACGGATTAGTGTTTTTTTGTTAACGCATATTGCGTACCTTTAGTGTTCTTTATTTATGCATCAAGCAGAAGCAATAAATGCAAGAATAAAAATTCAAATCTACCAAATTTATGTAAAGCTTCTTGATTTTTCCAATGCATCTGTCTGCTATATGGGTATCTCTACACCTTAAAAGGCAAACAACATAGCATACAGAAAACATTATTTCCTTCCCTCTACAAACTTCCACACACATTACGTCTTTTCTTTTGAAAAGCTGGTTCCTCTTCTCTTGAAATAAGTCCTCTACAAACTTCCACACACATTACGTCTTTTCTTTTGAAAAGCTGGTTCCTCTTCTCTTGAAATAAGTAAACAATGACAGTACATAATAATCTTTTCTTTTGAAAAGCTGGTTCCTCTTCTCTTGAAATAAGTAAACAATGACAGTACATAATAAGCAATACAATTATCTCTTTTAGATTTATAATAAAGGGATTGTCACTGAAACTTATTTTTAGGTCAAACATATTTGTTTCCACAACCAAAATAAATGACAGGATCTAGTGTTAAAAATGATCTCGGCAAACTTCAGTCAAAACTTAAGTGACAAACTTTAATAAAAATATAAAAGAGTAGGTTGAGATACGCGTATAATAAGACGAATGTCATTTAAAATGTAAACCAAAATGTTCTGACTTCTGATCTATTTTGAAAAGAAGCGGATGAAGAATTACTAAGATTTAGTTGAGCAGACGGAATGTAGCTTGCTGAATGCAAAGAATAATTCCAGAAGTGGATTGTAACATAAAAATATTCATTTAGTGCTTAGAATCGATACTCTTAAACTCTATACATGATAGTCCAATAGAATCTACTAGGTCGAGTAAACATCACATGATTTGCATAAAAACAAACCAAAGAATTACATATCATATTGGACATAATCATAATCATTCGACGGAAAGCTTGATACTATGTAAATAGACAAAGGTCGAATATATTATTACCTTGCAGAAAATGTACACCTAAAAATCTATTACTACGAACCGATGATCACGAACCGGCTAGAGCCACTCGTGCTGATAACGTGTTGTAATATACTAAAGAAATGAAACAAGAGACAAGAGACGAGAGACAAGAGAAGAAGAAGAGAAATTGTAATTTTCATTCAACTTTTCATTTTCATATATGATACAATTTATAGATACATGATGGAAGATAAAAGGACATCAAGTTAATAGTCCACATACAAAGTAATGTTCACATACATTTTGTCTTTTAGATTTCCACAAAATGTCTTTTAGATTTTAACAATATTCATATTAAAATTGTAATATTTTGAACCGACCGCTTGCTTTTTACAAAATATTGTTAGTAGTTTATAAAACCAATATATTAGATAAGGGGTAGATGACATTCTTTGTACAATATAAGAGATATATCAACAAAAGGTTTCTTTAAAAAAAATTCGAACTTGCTGCTAACGAGAATGATATAGGCTTATTTCATTTTGATACTACAAAATTTACCTGTTTTCTCACTTGAAGTCCCAAAATAAAGTTTTAACACTTTGATAGCCCAATGTTCGTAAAAAGTTAAAACTTGCTGCTAATGAGAAGAGGATAGGCTAATTTAACTTTTATACCAGAAATTTTACCCCTTGTTTTCACATTGAAACCACAAAGTAATGTTTAACACTTCAACACTCCCAAAATTTCAATCCAATTTTAATTTGATACCCCAAAGTACTTTTAATGCTTTGGTGCCTTGCGCTTCTAATCCAAATACCTTAAACTTATTTAAGCACCAAATATATAGAACTTATATGTAAGTGTTTATCACTGAAAGTCGGAAATATTTAAATTCTTATATAACTTAATCATCCCTGTGACAAAACCAGCAATTTATCCTAATGTACGTTAATATCCGAACATAACATTAATAAACATTGGAATCATTAGACATCAAACCTTTAGTGCTTTCATGACAAGCAGTATCCAAAATTTCCAAATAACCAAAACATCAAAGCTTTATCAGCTACCAAGTGCTGCTATTCGATGGGAAGTAATTCTAGACGTATCATTCGTTCGCACTCATGGGAGGATACAAAAGCTATTGTCTCGCTGACTTTTGTTCCTTATGCCAAGAAACAACCTCTTTATAAGACAGATCACCACCAAATATATCGAGAGCGCTTCCTACTGTGACATCCACATTACCCTTGCCCGCCTTCTTTATCCTCTCCATATCAGCCATTGAATTCACGCCACCAGCATAAGTTACTGGTATCTGAGAACACAAATAATAATGGTTCAGAACTCGATGGGGATTATGGACGAGATTTGATTAGCGACCACAGCAAGAAAGTTTTGTCTATGAATTGAAGTCAAAAACCAATGGGTATTATAGATGAGATTTGATCAGTGCCCGCAACGAGAAAGATTTCCTAAGCGTTCATCTGCTTTATTGAATTGAAGTCAAAAAGCTCTTTGCAACTGGAAAGAAATGGGACAAAACCAGCAATAACAAGATGCAGCGACAACAAGATAACACATACAGGTGAGTAGCGACCAAGCAAAGTCACAAGCCTCTCATCAATTCCTAGCCTGTCAAACAAAACAAAAAAATTGAAAGACAAATCAGAAAACAAGAAAGAGAGCACAATGTTAGCAGTCCAAAGTTATCATGGCTTAGAACGTGAAAGGGAAACATCAATCATCAGTTGGATGGTCAGCATTAGCCAACATGATTTCTCTAATTAACAAAAAAAAAGTAGAAATGAAATGTAATTTTAGTAAAGATGTAAAAAAGAACCGAGGGTAATGTACATATTGATTGCCAAGAAGTACCTTAAACTAAAATTTTTTGTTATTTAGAATCAATTATTCAGAAGATGATGCAATTGAGGATAATGCAGTCCATTGAATAAAATCAGCAAGTAAAGGAGTTGCTTTGTGAGACTTACAGTGAACGTGGAATAGTAAATTTAAAGGGAAAGTTCTATAATAATAATTATAAGGCTCACAATACTTTATGGATCAGAATATTGAGCGATTAAAAAATTTGCAGAAATAAGTGTAGTAGAAATGAGACTATTATGGCGAACGAATTGATATAAACTATAAGGGGGATATGAGAAGAAATGAAACATGTGCAGAAAGTTAGTAGTAGAAATGAGAATATTATGGTGAACGAATTGATATAAATTAAGGATGTGATAAGAAATGGATATATTCGTAGTAAGTTGGAGGTTTCCTTATAGAGGATAAAATGAGAGAATCATTCACCAGAGGGCCGTTAAATGCACCAATTAGGAGCAATGATAAGATTATAATAAATAGAGAAAGGACAAGAGGACACCTAAGAGAACTCGGATAAAAACTATTGAGAAATGGATACAATCCCCACCATGTGAAATTCTCTCCTACTTTATTCTCTTTCCTTCACATGGTGGGGCAATATGTGTACTGCATAGGCGATATCCGGACATGTTGCTGAAAGATAAACCAATGCTCCGGCAAGTTCCCTATATCGAGTAGGCTGAGGTTAGGGATCGCCATCATCATGTCAAAGCTTCAAGTTCATTTCCATCTGTGTGGAGAGAGGAGTGGTAGCAATGGAAGGATCACTGGGAGTAACACGCTCAAGAATGTCTGAAATGTACTTCTGCTGAGAGAGAAGATAGCCACGAGAGGAGGAAGCAACCTCAATACCCAAGACGTAACGAAAGGATCCAAGATCTTTCATCTCAAATTGTCTCTGAAGATCCCGCTTTAAGGAAGTAATGACAGACGAATCACTCCCAGTGATTATCATGTCATCAACATAAAGTAATAGAATGACTGTACCGGAGGCTGAGGTCCGATAGAATAGAGCGTAGTCAGCTAGGCTCTCAATAAAACCAATAGAACGAAGAGATTGCCGAAAACGCTCAAACCAAGCCCGAGACGTCTGTTTGAGACCATATATAGCACGAAGAAGGCGACATGCATGTCCTGGAGGAGCAAGAAAGCCAGGAGGTAGCTGCATGTAGACTGTCTCAAACAGATCGCCATTAAGAAAAGCAACTTTAACATCCATTAAATACAAAGGCTAATGTTTTGCAGCTGCAACAACAATGAGAGTGCGAATGGATGTCATTTTTACAACAGGAGCAAAAGTCTTTTCATAGTCAATACTATACTCTTGTGAGAATCCCCGAGCTATAAGACGAACTTTGTACCCCTCAATAGAATTGCCAGATCGAGTCTTGACCTTATAAATCCATTTGCAACTTATCGGTTTAACACCGGAAGACAAAGGAACAATGTCCCAAGTATTAGTCCGACAAAAAGCCTCCAACTCTTTAGTTATTGCTTGTTGTCATTCTGGATACTTTAACTGCCTCAGAATATGAGTCGGGTTTTCATGTATAGAGTGAATAGAAGCAAGAAAAGAGACAAACTCAGAGGAGAATATATGCTAGTGAAACATTGAGCATACCGAGCAGGGGGATAACGATCTTGTGGAGGATTGCGGCGATGGGGAGTTACATCGGGAGAAGCTGGCACAGATGTAGAGGGGGCATCAGTAGGAGTATCTTGCTGCAAAGGGATGTAGTATGCGGATGTCCAGGATGTGTGGATGAGTCAAGAGCACTATCGTTTGATGCTATTGGAGTGAAGGAGGGAGTCGGTTGAGTAGACAAAGGTACAAGTGCCACTGATGCAGGTATAGTAGTGGAAGGTAATGAAGGGGGTTGAAGAAAGGAGAGATCTGAATCTGAAGTAGTATAATAGGAAATATTCTTAAAGGTCACATGACGGGAAATACGAAGCCTTCGAGTGGTAGGTTCATAACAACGATACCCCTTGTGAACGATGCTATAGCCAAGAAAGATACATCGTGTAGTGCGTGGAGATAGTTTATTTCATTCATGAGTTGGAAGTATGACAAAACAGACACATCCAAAAGTGCGAAGAAGAGGGTAGCGAAACTAAGATTTGAAAAGTTAAAATATGGAGAGGTGTCAGCTAATACAAAAGATAGGAGTAATATTGATAAGGTAAAGAACAGTCAGAAGTGCTTCTGCCCAGAGATTTCGAGGTACATATGCTGATATCAGAAGATCTCTAGTGGTATCGAGAATGTGATGATGTTTTCTCTCAGTAACACTATTTTCTTCATGTATGTGGACAAGATTGCTGAGAGAGAGTGCCATGTGATTTAAAAATAGATTGCATTGGTGAAGAGATATATTCACAGGCACCATCAGAGCGAAATATCTTTATACATTTATGAAACTGGGTGTAGATCATATTTGTAAAGTCTTTATAAATATTTAGAATATCAGAACGAGTACGCATGAGATATACCCAAGTGTAGCGAGAATAGTCATCAATAAAATTGACATAATATCGAGAACCAGACATTGATGGTAATGGGGCAAGTCCCTAGATATCAGGATGAATTAAATCAAATGGGGCTAAAACAATTTTATTACTGGATGAAAATGATAGGACAATTTATTTATTTAGCTAATCGACACCCAATACAGTTTGATAAAGTAGATAATTTTAAATTTCCTAATACATCTGATTCAGATAAAAGTTTTAAGCGAGAACCAAAGATATGACCCAAGCGGCGGTGCCACAGATCAGAAACAGAGAGGCTGTGAACAATGTTGGATGGAGGGAAAAGATGTAGACTCCAACTAATAAAGTATGTTAACTCTACGACTTGTCCCAATCTTCAGGCCAGTGTGATCCTGAACACAAGATTTAACATTAAATTAGATGACCAGAACTATCAGATCTTGGAGTAATATCACCTAATTGAGAGACAAGGGGAGTGTCATTAGCACTACAAATGCATAATGAAGAGGGAGCAGGTGAATAATTTGTAAGTATCGAGTTATCAAAGATCATATGATGAGATGCACCTGAGTCGAATATCCAAGGAGTAAAAGTACTAGAATGAGCAGACAATGCAATAAAATCTGAGCTAGAAGGGCACCACTAATCCCAAGATTCTTGGTTATTAATCCACTGAGAATGAGTGATCTGAGAATCATCGGTAGTGGAATCACTAGAATTGACTTTTAATATGGAGGATGTAGATAATGAAGGTACAATAACAGTTTTCGATGGACAACAAAGAGATCCGCCAATATAACCCCATAATGCGAAAGCTCGAAGATTATATTGCATAGTAGGAGACAATGCAATATAACTTTCAATATTTGTAAGTTGCACATCAAGGGGTGGAAAGGTGTAGTCCTTTCTTGTCCATGTTTGTTTTAGACAAGAGATGGGCCTGAGGGCATCAAGATGGGCCTTGCACAAAAGAGGTTGATGGCCTGGAGATTTGCCTTGCACGAGGGAGAGGGCACAAAAGAGAAATTTTCTTGCTTTTAGATAAGAGGTGGGCCTGAGGGCATGAAGACGGGCCTTTATACAAAAGAGGCTGAGGGCTTGAAGATTGGCCTTACACAAAAGAGGCTAAGGGCACAAAAGAGGGATGAACCCTAAAAATAAAATCAAACACCGTCCAGAGAAGGAGAGGGGCAGCATGATAGTAGGTGGGAGAGACATAAGCTCAAGGGAGGTTGGAATCTCAGGAGTTCGACGCGAGATCGATGGAGAGCTCAGAGGCTGTCTAAGAGTATTAGAGATCCCTAGAGATGATGATGATCGATGGAAAGCCGCACTAAGTTCGACGCGAGATCGACGCGGAGAAGAGACTACCATCAAAAGTGAGGTTGGGATTTACGACGCGAGATCGATGCAGAGAAGAGGTTGTCGTCGAAAGCGAGGTTGGGGTCTCCAACGCGAGATCGATGCGAGATCGAGGCTGGATAAGTAGTGTTGATCAGACCGGAGCAGACAATGATCAGAGGCGGCGACAGAGATAGGTAAGACCTCCGGTTATTAGTGTTCTCACTCCGATACCATGTTAATTTGGTATTGAAAAAGAAATCTGTATTTGATTGATTGTTTAGGTAGATTACAAGCTATATATACACAAGATTATACAATATAATATAAACTAAATGGTAGGTTGCACTGTAGCACACCTGGACCAGCCAAAAGGTAGCACTGTAGCAAAGGTGGAGCACCCGAAATGTATGACTTTAATATAACAGTTTTGGATGGACAACGAAGAGATCCTTCAATATAACCTCATAGTGCGAAAGCTTGAAGATTATATTGCATAGTAAAAGAACATGCAATATAATTTTCAATATTTATAAGTTGCATAGCAAGTGGTGGAAAAAGGTATAGAGTCCTTTCTTGTCCATGTTTTTTTTAGATAAGAGATGGGCCTTGCACAAAAGAGGTTGATGGCCAGAAGATTTGCCTTACACGAGAATGAGGGCACAAAAGAGAAATTTTCTTGCTTTTAGATAAGTGGGCCTGAGGGCATGAAGATGGGCCTTTACACAAAAGAGGCTGAGGGCTTGAAAATTGGCCTTACACAAAAGAGGCTGAGGGCACAAAAGAGGGATGAACCCTAAAAATAAAATCAAATGTCGTTCTGAGGAGGAAAGGGGCAGCGGGATAGTAGGTGGGATAGACACAAGCTCAAGGGAGGTTAGGATCTCAGGAGTTCGACGCGAGATCTCGGTTGGGATGTCGGTCAGGAGTTCAACACTAGATCGAGGCAGAGCTAAGAGGCTATCTAGAGTATTGGAGATCCCTACAGATGATGATCGAGGCAGAGCTAAGATGGCACCGCACTGAGTTCGATGCGAGCTCGAAGCGAGATCGACGCGGAGAAGAGGCAGCCGTCGAAAGCGAGGTTGGGATCTCCGACGCGAGATTAACGCGGAGAAAAGTCTGACGTCGAAAGCGAGGTTGGGATCTCTGACGCGAGATCGAGGCTGGATAAGCAGTGTTGATCAGACTAGAGCGGATAACTATCAGAGGCGGCGACAGAGAGGTAAGACCTCTGGTTATGAGTGTTCTCGCTCTGATACCATGTTAATTTGGTATTGAAAGAGAACTCTGTATTTGATTGATTGTTTAGGTTGATTACAAGCTATATATACAAAAGATTACACAATATAATTTAAACTAAATGGTAGGTAGTAGTGTAGCACAACTAGAGCAGCCCAAAGGTAGCCGAAAATTAGCAATGTAGCACAGCTGGAGCAGCCGAAAGGTATGACTGTAATAGCCCCCGCAAACTCATGGTGGATTACAAAACGAGAGTTTGGATAAGAAGGAACGAAATTAAGAGATTGTCAGAGCCTTGGTAAACAAATATGCGACTTGATCCTTAGAAATAACATAAGAGAGTGTAATGTTGCCAGCAACATGCTCCTGTCGAACCACATGACAATCACCTTTAATATGTTTGGTATGCTCATGAAAGACCGTATTTGTGGAAATGAACATGCCACTATCTCAACAATCTTGTCCACACTCATGAACAAAATGGTGTTGCTGAGAGAACATCGTCACATTCTCGATACCACTAGAGCTCTTCTGATATCAGCATCTGTACCTCGATATCTTTGGGCAGAAGCACTTCTGACTGCTGTTTACCTTATCAATATTACTCCCATCTTTTGTATTAGCTGACACCTCTCCATATTTTCAACTTTTCAAATCTTAGTTTCGCTATTCTCTTCTTCACACTTTTGGATGTCTGTTTTGTCCTACTTCCAACTCATGAATGAGATAAACTATCTCCACACACTACACAATGTATCTTTCTTGGCTATAGCATCGTTCACAAGGGTTATCGTTGTTATGAACCTACCACTCGAAGGCTTCGTATTTCCCATCATATGACCTTCTTTGAGAATATTTCCTATTATACTACTTCAGATTCAGATCTCTTCTTTCTTCAACCCCTTCAATACCTTTCACTACTATACCTGCATCAGTGGCACCTGTACCTTTGTCTACTCAACCTACTCCCTCCTTCACTCTAATAGCATCAAACGATAGTGCACTTGACTCATCCACACCTCCTGGACATCCGCCTACTACATCCCTTTGCAGCAAGATACACCTACTGATGTCCCCTTTACATCTATGCCAACTTCTTCCGATGTAACTCCCCCTCGCCGCAATCCTCCACAAGATCATCATCCCCCTACTCGGTATGCTTAATGTGCCAGCCTCTTTCGATGCGCATTCACATGCTACTGGGCTATAATTTTTATAGCCTTAACATGACAACTGAGGAAGTTTTGTGAAGTGTAATTTATAAAATTTAAAAGTATTTAGTGCTCATTCGTATTGTTTCTTAAATTTGTGAATATTCTTTTATGATAGTGTCACATGCTATTCTTGAAAATTCCTCTTATTCAAAATGTTATGTGTTTATCAATCGTTCTTTTTGACAATAGTTTATCTGAATTTAGTATTGATGATTTCTTAAACTTGTCTAATCCGCTAATGATAAATTTTCTACTCACAGAGTGTAAATTCACCATAATATTTGTAAACTCACCCTAATATTTTCAAATCTTTTTTCAGATGAGCATTAGACAGCTTTATCTATGACATGGAATTTGACATGAGAAGGATCTTCTAGATAATGCTTTTTCAGAGTTTAAATTCACCCTAATATTTCTAAACTCACCCTAATATTTTCAACCTTTTTCAGATGAGCACTAGACATCTTTATCTATGACACGGAGTTTGACATGAGAAGGATCTTCTAGATAACTAGTTTTAGGCCCGTGCGATGCACAGATTTGTTTAATATACAAAAATTGATGTAGCAAAAGAATACAAACAGTTCAAATAGTTTACGAAGCGCTCAAACAGTTTACGAAATATCTTGTTTAGAAAATTGAAAAGGCAGGGAGAGTTAGTTCAAATCTCAAGGAAAACTTTTTATTTTTTATTTTTTATTTCAAATTTAATATGGAGAACTTTTGTAGAAACTTGACAAGTGACACTTGCAAGAAGATAGTAATTGATATGTTTGCCAAGTGTTGTTTAAAATGGTATGGGCCATTTTTGCCAAGTGGTATTTTTGCCAAGTGGCGAATTGAAAGGTAACAACTTTTAGTAATAGTATATAGATGCTTTGATGCTGAGTTTGTAGTTATATTAGACATGTTGATATGCTTATGTAATAAGTCTTCGACTTATTAAACTTTGTTACAATGTAGCTATTGCTTCTAGACTTCTATATGCAAATAAATTTCTTTATTAAAAGTTTTAATTGTGATACGGAAGTGCATAGCAGACTTAGCATGTGCTTTACGCACGCGTTGCCGTTTTCATGCGCCTCGAAATAAGTTGTGCACTTTGGAGGCATGACAGAATAAATCTCAAAATATGTGGTATGCAGGATAACAAATCTCTAGGATTATAACTTTTGAAATAGCTCAAGGTTCCTGCAGATAAGAAATTCCTGCAGATAAGAAAGACGAATAATAGATTCCAAAACATGACGGATGCAAACATTTACACTCAAAGCACGTGCTTAAAGAAATACAGAATTATTCAAGATAAGATATTCCAATATAACTTAGAAACTGTGGACAAGAGAAAAAAATATCGTTAGACAGAGTTTCTACAGTTGTTTTTAGGGAATAAAATCTGACACATCATGAATATAGAAATGGTGGGAATTAGTGAACATTGTATGAATCTCGAGTATCAAGTGGCAGCAACGCTATCTTAGCCAAATTATGTGCCACAACTCAAAATTTAAAAAATAGAGATTCAGTTTGGTGGCTGATAGCCAGCCATTCAAAGTCTCCTAAAATTTAAGTTGGATAAATAATTTATATGGGAATAATTTACAAATTTAGAAATGTAATATTTTAGGAAGTTACCTTTTCCCTTCTACATCAACTCCATGAACTAAGAACTCATCAGCAAATGTAGCAAGGAATGTCAAACTTGTCTTGTCTAGAATTACATCACTGAACTTCTGCCATCTATCTGTGACAATGAAATACCTAGAGTTCTGCACGAAAGATCAGTCTTATACTTGCGCGATAATCTGAGCAAAAAGCAACCCAACAAAATTTCATTTCAAGTACCAGAACAAGTCGATAATCATAAAAGCAGTTTATATAGCAAAGAATGTCGAAATTTCCCTCTTTCCATATTCTCAGCAGTATAAAATTAGTAGCATATTAAATTTCCCCTCTTTCCATATTCGCATGAGTATCAAAAATTTAAATTGCATATTATAAAAGAAAAAAGGTAAAAATATCAGCAGCCATAGCCATAACAGACTAGGTTTCAAAAGGCTACACACGAAACAACAGGTAGTTTGAAGAAGGAAAAAGGTGCAAATAGACCTCGAGTCTCAGCTGATCATCTATGCTTATGGTGGTTGCTCTTATGTTAGTATTAACATATGATCAGTGCCATGGAGTAAATACGAAGAAAAAATGAGACCTGCTAAATTCTCTTTTTTGAACGAGAATCATGAACGACACAAAAAAAGCTTTCTATCTTGGTTTTCTATTCCTCGTCTCTGTTTAACTTATGTGGTTTTTATTCTAAAAGCTCTTCCTCTTAACCAACCAAAATGTAAAGTGAATGTTTATTTTAAAGATAGTCATGATCTCATAAGTCTCGAGTTTCAAAATGATTAGTAGAAACCAATAGTATTTGTTACTGTTTCCATGTAAATCAAATTAATTCCTCCAACAGAATACAACTTCACATCTACACTTAACATAGTCTAGACTTTACTTTATATCATATTAGCGACCCAATTCACATTAGACATATTCTGTTGTTTATATATGAAAACTAAGAAATTAAAAAAACAAAATAGACACAAAACAAACTATGTAACATAAGTAGCGAGGTAGATATTAAACTCATTTACCTTCTTCCTGCAACTAAGATCCAAAACGAGCCTATTCTTCCCAATCAACTGAACAAGCTGCTTAAGTCGTTCAAGGTCCATATGTCCACCATTGAAAACATACTACAGTAGTAATTAAAAGAGTTGATTTAAAACTTTTGAGAAAATATGTACTTAATAGGCTTCCACAAAGAACACAAGAGCTCTTTAAATGAAAAGAGACATTATATAGAGTGAATAAAATTTAATTTCAATCGAACAAGTTCCCTAACAAATAATATCTATAGTCCTTTCTGGAATCTGCTGAGAAACTAGATTTAGACAACTTGATACGAATCAGATTAGCTCCTCAATATAAGAATCCAAAACTCAGTAGAATGTGCTTTTCTGTGTGGCTCTGTCTAATATGTGACTCAGAACTGATATGGTTAGAAGATGAAACCACTATCCTAAAGACTGATATAACGTCACAAACTCACAATCCTAAAGACACAAAACTGAAGAGGTAGTAGCATAAAAGCAAGAAGACAAGAAACAAATAAGAATAATTTCCAATTAATCTCGTCCAAAGAATATCCTACCGATGTTACAATCACATGACTGGCTCCTTCCTCAATATAGCTCTGAGCGTTGTCGACATTGATGCCACCACCAACTTGCATCCCCCCTAAAATTTTAAGTTGGAAAATATTAATATATAAATGAGGGTATATTCTTATATAAATTGTCAGTTAACTTGAATGAGGAGTTTTTACTTTAAAAAGATGCTTCTAAATACATCGAGGTTGTTATGTCATACGAATCCTGGAAGAATCATGTTATCTAAAATTCGCCTACAATATCCACACTAAGCAGAAATTCTATAAAATTTTTATTAGTAATTTATCTATTTATTAATAGCTCCAGAGATTTAACTCTAGTAGACAATATCACTGATAATTGTTAAAACTAATAACATGACTAAGGAAACCATTTAACAAAACGATGGTAATCCAACTCTATCTTTCCTTCAGTTCCGTTCACATTTCTAGTAAATTGCATTAGATAATTAAACCACCCCCCCCCCAACCCCTCCCCCCAAAAAAAAGCCTTTGTTAATTTCTTTTAATCTGGATACGTGACTCAGTCTATCTTCAAGTACAACTAGGGCTAGTGGAAAGCCGTAAATAGTGAATGGGAGGGGTCATCATGGGCCATGGCATATATAATATGCACGTTAGTTTACATAAACATTCACCTGATCCCCACTATTCTCACACAAGTCCACCTACACATTTCTTTTGGGGATAGTGTTGTTTGGGCCCCTATGTTTTTTTTTTGGAATCTCTCCCCACCCATACTCAAAAATCCACCTTTTCCTATTATTTTTGGACCCTTTAGAATCAATAGTTCACCACTTTTAACAGTTTGACAGGACTTTGCAGTCAAAAATTTATGCAGTTAATATCAAAGAAATACTGAGATGGAGATAATTAACTAAAAAGATTTGTGATTTACTAAGGTACAAAGAAGTTAAAGACATGAATTCATTTGATTCCAAGGTCCTAAAAGAAAATAAGAAAAGGCAAGAGGAAAAGAATTTTTGTAAAATGATGGGAGCCTAAGCACAGTTTTTCCTCCTGTTTTTTAATGTTAGCTACACACGCAATAATGGGAAGAGACATTCCCCTAAGAACAACATGCAATAAGAATGTGAATGCACAAACATAATACACGAGAAATCAATAGTGAGCTTAAAAAGCATGAACAAACAACATTAAACACAATACACGACCATATCCCACAAAGTGATATTGCGATTTCAAATAAAACTTCTACCAAGTGTACATTAACACAAAGTCAGAAAACCAACTTGAAACATCATTATTTATTTATTTATCTAAACACCAATCCTCTGGACAATAGTCACATCCAACATATGATTATCATACAAAATAAATAGCCATTCCTAATAGATTTATACATTTCATTAGTGATCTAAATCCAACCAGTTCACTTTTTCCTTTAATTTTTATATAGAATATCATGCAAGTGTGATTTACTTTGTCAAATATTGAAGGATTTTGGTAGCTAATGTTCTAAACTTATCTCCATTTCCAATACACACTAGTATAATGCATTTTTGACTTTGCAGACTAGTAGTTACTTCAAATTAAATGTTATTCTCTTTTATAGAATGCAAGTGATACTCTATCAATACCAAAGGATTTTGTTAACTCGTGTTTAAGCTTACCTCAAATAAACGACAATAATACATATTTTTGACTTTGTAAACCAGTAGTTATGCTAAATCATATGCTAGTATCTTTTGTAGAATGTCGATAAGCATTTGTTAGGCATGTGCATAGATCTAGATTAGTTTGGATAAAGCTAAATAAATAAATAGTAAATAAATAAAACAAAAAATAAAAATAAAAAACTGAGCACAAATAGACAAATCAGAAGGCACACTAACCAAACCAAAACAAAAGCTCCAAACTCAATTAAGTAGAAGGTATATTGTAGATTCACTTAAGAATTTAATATGCGAGGCATTTCATGTATTTTCTTATATTAGGCATCTTCATCTACTGTGTGATAACAAACACTTGAAGTGTAGTAATTAGGCTCGGTATCCCTGCACTTGCTATTCATGAAATGTCTTGATATTGTGGACTAGTAAGCGTCAGCTAAAGGAAGTTTGGTTTGTCCCTAAGATCATGATTGTAACTAATATCATTTACTAACATCTATCCCTCATTTTTTTAATTATACAGGTTCTCACTTACCCAAATTTGATCAAGTCAGGTGTTCTAATAAGTTAGATATATTTTATATTTGTGAACCTTTAGCTATTAGCTAGGGAATTATATGCTGAACATGATGGACTGGGTTAGGCTTACCCGGAGAAAAACCTGAAGACTAAAATTGCAGAAGGATTTGTTTGCTCAATACAAAAACGAATCAGCTAATTATGGACATGTCTATGAAAGCATCTGATTCAATATAAACTTAACTAATTTTCCTTTTATTTATTTATTTTTGGTTATTTTTTATCACTTGAATTGAACCGGCACTAACTTGTATCACTATGTACACTATCGATGTCGAACAAATACGTAGATGCTTGTGATTCTTTACTTAGCCAAGTAAAAAAATTAACATCTGCATAAATATGGGCATGAGTATGTGTTTCTTACCCAGTAAGAGTCACAGGCTTAAAGTATATCAAATACCTAAGCACTATCATAAACAAACTTCACTCCAACTCAATAAATTAGGTTACAAGAATCAAATAAAGAATTTGCATAAATATTGTTGACAACAGAAAGAATTTTTTTTGATAGTTGAGCAAATTTACCTGGATAGGCATGCAAGGCTTCAATAGCTGCACATTTGCTTGCAGCATCAGCACCAAGCATTATCACATGACCCCCAGCAAGTTCATCCTTCTTGTACAAAGTTGCATATTCAGCTGGAGATTTATCTGATTCAAAATTGGTTACCAGAGTGCCTTCAGCCGAATCTTGAAGTGTGGATCCAACTATTTGCTTGACTTTTCCCTAAAGCCCAAGCTTAACTTTATAAGAAACAAATATCTTCATCGATTATGATTAAAGGAAAGCTAGACAACTACAAGCCAAATTTTAAGAGTTTGCTTGACTGCCCTACTAATTGGCAATAGTCTAAACAATATAAAGATCAAGGACTACGCAGCTACAGATATGGATTTTTCGCATTATTGAACCTGAATACTGTTGTTTAGAGTAAATGTATTTTAGCTTTGATAAATCATGATTTCTTTGGTATGCTCAATCAAGAGAATAATTCAACATTTTTTTACTTAACAAACCGAATGAAATACCAAAAATGTCTACATGAAGTCGGTATATGAAAGACAACTACTATCATATAAGTCTCTCCCTATGAAAGTCAAGAGTCACTTTGGAGCATGACTTAAGCCTCCAAAATTCTACGAAAATAAGACAAAGAACCCAAGAAATTTTAATAACCTAATTGATTCCCTCATGAATTACCTAAAATTAGATTCTTGCATGGGTATACAATACACCAGCAACATAATTTAGGATTATTTGCACTTCAATGCCCCCAAAATTTCACCCCTTGAACTTTGATATCCCGAAGTTCTATCTTGACAATTTGGTACACCAAAGTTAATTGGCATTAATTTGACAATTCAATACCCCAAAACCATAACTTTGTTTCTCACTTTCTCCAAACTCAAATAACTGAGATTTGGCAAGGAACTTCTCATTTACTTTTCTCTGTAGATATTATTCTTGAACAAAATTAACAACTTTTGCACTTTGGGGTATAGAATTGTCAAAATGAAACTTTAGGGTGTCATAGTTTTTATTTTTTAAAAGGTGAAACTTTGGGGCATTAGTGAACAAATAACACATATATTTATTAACATCATCTATAATTAATCAAAAGAACAACCACTTCTGAAAATTAAATGAGCATCGGATCACATAGCTACCTCATGTATATCAATACAAGGCCGAAATCGCACCCCACATTCGAAGTTAATTGCCATTAATTTTGAAAATTCGATACCCCAAAACCATAACTTTGTTTCTCACTTTCTCCAAACTCATAACTAAAATTTGGCAAGAAACTTCTCATTTATTTTTCTCTGTAGATATTAATCTTGAGCAAAATTAACTTCTTGCACTTTAGGGTTTCGAATTGTCAAAATGAAACTTTAGGGTATCAAAGTTTTTTTAAAGGAGAAACTTTGGGGCATTAGTGAGCAAATAACACATATTTACTAACATCATCTACAATTAATCAAAAGAACAAAAATTTCACAAAATTAAAAAGAGAATCAGATCACATAGATACCTCATGTATATCAATACAAGGCCGAAATCGAACCCCGCATTTGACCACAAGACGAACAAATTCTGCAATAAAAAACACAGCTCAAATTTTTCGTAACTCCATATTATATTCACAAAAAAAAAAATTCACGAGTCGACTTACGGGAAGAAGAGCATGAGCTCGAAGTCCACACTGGAGGTGCCCATTGATTCTTCTTGTGCTTTATCTGAGGAAAGGAAGTAAGAGAGATTTTGGAGGCAGATCTGAGACCTGAAAGCATGTGAAGATCCATTAATTGGGTTTTTTCTAGGCTTGAGATGGAGAAGGGTAGAGCCGTAGAGAGAGGTGGAGGCGCAAGTGGAGAGGAGCAAACGGCACCGGGTCTAAGGCTTATGTACCCAAGCCCGATCAACAAGGGTAGATGCGGATTTTTCCTTTTTTTTCTTCTTGGGTTTTTGCATATGTAATCCTCACAATTTTCATATTTGCAAAGTTATCCTTTAATTCTTGGCACGTGCAAATGTACTCTCCAATTCCCTGACATTGGTTTTTTCTACATCTTCCACTGATGTGAAGTTATTGATCAACTATATTATGAGCTATAACAAACCAAACAAGAGGATAAAAATCACTATAATTGACAAAAGGTATCTTCAAAATACTTACTTAACAAGCCAGACAAAATGTGGAAAATAACTATAGTGGATAAAATATATACACATGATACTTATTATAGCTTACGACACATGTAATATATTTTATTACAAAATTCCTATTAAAGACCAGTAAACATTAAGTTCACATTATATCTATCTCAAATTTGTTGGGAAGATATGCACGACATCGCAAATTTGCGTCATATATATATATATATATAGAGAGAGAGAGAGAGGTGAACTTATGTCAACTTAAGTGGACAAGAGGCCTTCGTCCACTAAACATTATATCCACTCATATACATAAAAAATCTCTTCATATATTGCAAGGATCCTTAGGTATCATCAATGGATAGAAACTTTGGTGAATGATCTACTTAAGTTGACATAAGTTTTTCTCTCTATATATATATAATCTATATATATAGAGAGAGAGAGAGAGCGCTCTATATATATAGAGAGAGAGAGAGAGGTGAACTTATGTCAATTAAAGTGGACAAGAGTCATTTGTCCACCAAATTTTCTATCCACTCATATATATATATAAAGTCTCTTCATATCTTACATAGATCCCTAGGTATCATCAATAGATAGAAAGTTTGGTGGATGATCCACTTAAGTTAACATAAGAATTTTTCTATATATATATATATATAAGTATGGGTTTGAGAAAACTTTTTCATGGTCAATATTATCCTTAATCCTTTTGAATATTACATTTCAATGTTATCCTAATCCTACTTAATAATAAACTTGTTTTGTTATTACTAATTCAAAGAAATAATATATCAAATAATAGATAACAAATATTAAATACTATGTAAGAGAATATATCCATGCTGAAATTTGTTCCTTATCCATGCACAATGAGTAGGGGTGCAAAATGGTCCAGATTTATCCGGACCGACCGCAACCGTATCCGTTTAGAAAGCGAATATGGTATGAAAAAATTAAAACAGGTCGGATATGATTTCGGATACGGTTGCAGTTTAGATTTTTTATCCGGATACGGTTTCGGATATGCTTATCGCGTCGAAATTGCGGATACGATCCTGATATCCGGATATTTGAAATGGGCTAAGTATAATGCTTGTATTGGGTCGGGTCTAGAACATATACTCATGTTATCCGCAACCCGACCCAAATTCAACTCAAAAGAAGTCACATATCTTCAGAAACCCTAAGTCTTCTTTCAAAATCCCGCTGCGCCTCCGCCTCCAAGCTAGGGCTGTGCAAACAGTCGTTCAGTTCGGTTTTTATCAAATTTTGAACAACCGAACCGTCCATTATTCAAAACCGAACCGAACTGTTGCAAGTCGGTTCGGTGCGGTTCGGTTTGTTTGGTTCTAACCAATTAATAAACTTCTCCACGCTAATACCTGCTATTTCAGAGATCTGTAAGCATTTAGGGACAATGAAATAGAAGTGGATAAGAATTGTAACAGCAAACGTTCCCAAGAAACTCAAATTGATTTCATAAGATGTATTGTTAAGGGAAAGCAAAATAAGCTGCCAATAGACTCCCTCAGCAATCGAAGTGCACGACATAATCCACTATAAGGGAAATGAAAAAGGAAAGGAGGAGATTAAAGCAGTCGGAATAAAAAGAATCATTTCAGACACAAAATTGAAATGTGTGAGACGCGAAGGACAAAATTTGAAATGCGTTGAGGGGCACCATGGAAATATCCAGGATCACTGAAAAGGTACTTGTGCAATTAGAAATGCTGAAACGCAGTAAATCTCAACTAAGATAAAGATGAAGGAACATTGACAAAAATAAGTATCGACAAACCTTGTACAAAGTATCTAGAATGAGAAGATCCAACTGCAAGAGTGAAGCATATAAAATAATCATAAAAAAGGAAGGGGAAAAGAATAAGAAGAGGATGCAGGCGGCGGCTGCAGGTTTGTTTTGTTGAACATAGTAAACTAGGGGTTTCTTGAAAAAGAGAAAAAAAATCAAAAAAAAAATCTTGTAGTTTACCATAGGATGGGAAGGAGGAGATTGAGACCTGAGAAGAGTTGAAGCACATGAGCGAGAGGGCGGCGTCCAAAACCCTAGTTCCTGGGGTTTGCGAGCTGAGAGAGGCGGCGATACACGAGATTGCGCTCGACGGATAGGAAGAGGAGGAGGGGTTGGTGGAGGTTGAGGCGGTAGATCACCGGAGATTGGTGGCGAGCTGGGCAAAGAGGCAGGTTAGATCGGCCACAGTCACCATGAGTTGGGGGGAAGAGAGAGGAACTGAGAGCATGAGAAGAGGAAGAGTGGCGGCTGGATTTTAGGGTTTGAGTGTGGATATTTGGGAATGGTTGAACGGGTCGGGTTTGAGGGTTAATGGGTATATTATTAGTTCGGTTGGTTCGGGCGGTTCGGGTTGAAAATTTTTCAATCCGATCCGAACCGCCCCACAAATAAAACTGACACGAACTGCTAATTTTGGGTTGCTTCGGTTGGTTTTTTCGGTTTGGACTGAACCATGCTCACCTCTACTGCAAGCCGCCTCCGAGCTCCCGCTCCGCCTCCGCCTACCGTTCTGTCTCCTGCAGTGCCTGTAGTTGTAAGATACATATATTTGATAAAAATACAAATATTAAAAATACGACGACCATCGTCGACGCGAAGACGACCATCGACGACGTCCGACCTCCTCTTCTCCTCCTCAAATTGGTAATTCAAAACCCTAAGCCCTAATTTTTTTTTTTTTTTTTTTTTTTAAAAACCCTAATTTCTAACATTTGTTGACTGAGTTGATGAATCTTCGATTTTGTGCATTTTTTTTTTGAAAGATTAGATGGTAGTTCTGTTAGCTTCGCTGATTTTTTTAGTAAATCAACCAAATGAGGGATAATCAAAAGATGGCATGGTGTAGATTGCAAAATGTATTTCATGGCCTCGTCGTTGCTCTGGGTGGCTGGTGATAATCTTTAATTTCAGATGTTTGATGCTGCATTCTTATTTTATTCAAGGGATGCTATTAGAAGTTATTTTGCTTATGCTAAAACCTGATGGCTACTGAATTCTTCTAGGCTTTACTAATTTATTTGACTACAGAATTTTACCAATAACTAGGCTTGGAGTTTTATTTACGGGCAACGGATACAAATTAGCTAAATTATCATCACGAGTGCACAAACAAGTAAGGGAGGGAAATGGTTTTGTTCGAGAGCATCTTTATGTGTAACATATAGGGGTGCATTCGGTTCGGATATGGTTCGGGTATGACACTTACCATAACCATAAACACTTTCTGAAAACGACTCCTAATTTTTTCTTAAATATCTGATTAGTATTCGTATCACATCCGTATCCAACTCTCTAATATCTGAAGCGTATCGTTTTCGTTTAATGCGGATATGGTAATACTTTTTTTTACCGATGAATATCTGAACTGTATCCGTATACGTTTTCAGAAAGTGGTTATGTTTATGGTAAGTGTCATATCTGAACCATATCCGAACAGAATGCATCCCTAACAATGAGAGATGTAATATCATGACCCGGATGTTAGTAGTGTTGGATTTTTTAGTCAAAACTGCTTTCCAAAATGAGTTTTCAAACTATATATATATATTAACTGCAAGTACTTTTCATAAATGCTTAGTAGCCTAGTGGAAAGTTTATGTTTTGGTATTTCAAAAGGTCCCTTGTTCGAGGCTTGCCAACGGCAAGCCGAGAAGTGTTTTATTTGAATTAATCCCTCATAAGTTCTAGTGGGCCGTGGGCCGTGGGCCGGGATCGGGGCTAATCGAGCTGAGGCTCTAAGTGACGCTTTGTTAGGCGCACTTTGCACTTCGCACAGAGGCATCGGGGCAAGGTGGCGCCACGGAGGTTGCCTCGCAGGCTGCTTCGCAGCATGCGGACGAGCTACGTATTCGCACGAGGGTGACCTTAGCGTTCTCGTAGTTTGACAATGTTCGCTCATTCAATGAGGTTCATCTGTTATACAAGGTTCGCTTGTTTGACGATGTTCGTTCGTTCGACGAGGTTCGTCTGTCATACGAGGTTCGCTTGTTTGACGAGGTTCGTCTGTCATACGAGGTTCGCCTGTTTAGCGTTCTCGTAGTTTGACAATGTTCGCTCATTCGATGAGGTTCATCTGTTATACAAGGTTCGCTTGTTTGACGATGTTCGTTCGTTCGACGAGGTTCGTCTATCATACGAGGTTCGCTTGTTTGACGAGGTTCGTCTGTCATACGAGGTTCGCCTGTTTGACGAGGTTCGCTCGATCGACGAGGTTCGTATGTTATACGAGGTTCGCCAGTTTGACTATGTTCGCTCGTTCAACGAGGTTCGTCTGTCATACGAGGTTCGTCTGTTTGACGACATTCATTTGTCAAACGAGGTTCGTCTGATTTGCTGAGATGTGACCCTCGCGTTTCGTAGCAACACGTCCATTGATAGCCTCGTATTCTAGAGTTAATGCATGCAGCAGTTACAACAGCAATTAGAGCAATTTAATGCATTGATGTTACAATCTTAATTGCCATTGAGAATTGTAATAGTCACATTAATTGCTAATAACTCTTGAGTTGGCCTTAGAGGCCTATAAATAGCGCCCTTGGGCAGCTCTTGGTTGTTGCTGAAAATCCTCTCGTGAGCGTGGAACACGAACGTCACGTGCTGGAAAACGAACGTCAATCCCGATGTTGTTGCTGTTGTGCTGCTGCTACAGGAACTTGTGCCCTCAGGAGTGGGGTATGGATATCGTGGGACCGATTTCCCCTCCGACGTCCAAAGGGCACCGGTTCATTCTAGCGGTGACCGACTATTTCTCCAAATGGGCGGAGGCAATCCCGTTGAAAGAAGTCAAGACTTCAAATGTAATCAAATTCATTAAGCATCGTGTCATCTACCATTTTGGAGTCCCGAGGTGAATAGTGCACGACAACGGGACACAATTCATTAGTTTTAGGTTTCAGAGATTTTGTGACAAATTCAGAATCCAAAGTGTCGCATCTACAGCATATTATCCGCCAACGAATGGTCTCGCAGAAGCTTTCAATAAAGCCATAGTGAAGCTTCTCAAAAAGTTTGTTCCCAAAAGCCGGCGCGATTGGGATGAAAGACTCGGTGAATGTCTGTGGGCTTACAGTACGACGGTGAGGATCCCTACAAGAGCTACACCATTCTTTTTGGTATACGGCTGCGAGGCTGTATTGCCATTAGAAATCCAGATCCCTTCTCTGAGAGTTGCTATTACAACTGGACTAACAGAAGAAGAAAAACATCAACGACGTCTCCAAGAACTTGAGGATTTAGACGACAAATGACTTCAAGCTCAACAACAGATCGAGTTATATCAAGCCCGTATTTCCAAAGCCTACAACAAAAAGGTCAAGGAACAGATTTTCAAGAAAGGCGATCTAGTTTTAGCCAACAGACGACCCATGGTAATGACCCACAAAACCAAAGGGAAGTTCAACCCCAAATGGGAAGGGCCCTTAGTAGTAGAATCAGTCTATTCGAACGGAGCTTATCACCTCATCAACCAAAAAGGAGATAGGCTCATGATGCCAATTAACGGGAAATTGCTTAAAAGATATTTTCCCTAAATCACATAGCCCCCTAAACCCCAACTAAATCAGGCTGGGGGTTGCCTATTAATAGTGTAATTCTGTCTTGTATTTTGTCATGTTAACATTACACCTCTGGCGATTGAAATTTTCTAGAATTATTCTAAATAATAATAAAGAGAATTTCGTTTTTACACTACACTTACAAAATTCACATTACTTTTCATTGTCCTTAAATAAAATTCGACAAAAGAGATAATGAAAGGCAAAATGATATCGTTTTCATTCAACATTGTTAACGAGAATACAAAGTGACGATGAGCAAAATGAAAATGATACAAAAACCCTTTAAAAAAAAGGGTACAAAATCTAAGCATCAGGCTTCATCAGCTTAAGAGATTTTAGCCTGGACTTGAAGGCGAAAAGTTTCTTTTGGTGGGCTGCTCGGACTTGTTTTTCGATCTCCCTTCGGAGTTCTGCTTCGACAGGGGAAGCAGCAATAATATCTCTGTGAATCCGCTCGGCTGCGTGGAGCATACGGTAAAAATCTATATAAATCTGACCGCTTTGGAACTCAAGCTCTTTTCTGACATCCTCATAGTGGGCCAATTGGGCTTTCTTTTGGTCCAACTCGGCCTCTAATCGAGCGATAGTTTCTTCAATATCACAAATATTAGAAACGACACTTTTGATGTTAGCATATACTTCAGAGTGATGCTGCCTCAAGACTGATATGCGGGCCTTCTTATCGGACAAGTCCTTGCGAAGGGTCCCCTGATGATGTGCCCCAGAGATCGTAGACAGGGAGAGAGCCAGCTCCACTTCGGAGTTTAAATCAGCACATTGTAGTTTCTTGAAAGCTGCCAACTCTGTCTTCAAGAGAGTGATTCCTCCCTGACAGTGCTCAGTCCATGACTCATCCCCTTTATCCCTGATTAAGTCCAAACACTTGGTCAGGATGGGCTCGCAATCTTCAAAAGATGCACCCCCAACCCTGACAATATTGACTATCGTCTGCATCCAATGTTCTAGTTCCTCAATTAATTTCTTTAAAGCTCTCGAGCGTGGAGGAGGAAGGGTGGGATAGATCGGACCTGTATGTTCATCCTGAGCGGGTAATGGAGCAACTTCAGAAGAAAGACCTTCATGCGTACTCTCGTCCTGAAAAAGAGAGGGAGAAGTAGATTCAGAACCCCCAACAGGCAGTGTCTCCTTGGCTCTAGTCTCCACAGGAATAGAAGGGATTGATCGAAGCATCTCACCCTCTCTACCAGTCAAGCGCGCAATAGGCACAGATTTTATCGCGTCTCCCATCAGCTTGGCCCTCTTCGAATTTTTGGCCACGACAGGTATTCGTTTGCGAATTCTTCTGTCATAGTCAGCCTCCTCGGCAGTAGAAAGTGCATTCTTACCCGATCTCGAAGAACGGAGTTCAGGATCAGACATTTCTATAGGGATCTCTCCAACCACTTTTTCCTTAGGAGAATCAGCGATTGGTCCTCCCTCCTCAATCCCCGTAGGAACCTCTTCATCAGAAGGTTCTATGGTAGGTGAATCCCTAGGGGCTTCAACAGCTTTGGTCGCTTCCCGTTCACAAGATAGATATTCTTCTATCCCCGGTAGACGAGTACATGTGGAACCGCTCCTCGAACGATACAATTCCCGAATCTCGTTTATACATGAAGTGTAAATATCATATTTAGGGATTCGAGAGGCCTCGTCAAACCAGTTGTGAAAATTTGCAACGGAAGAACAACCGGGTGGCGAATGAGGTAAA